TAATCCTTTGGATATGGTCCACTGGATTCGGTATACCCAAGTATTACCATCACTCTTACTTTGGAGTTCAGATCCGGTAAGGGGGTTGATTGGTGGATGGAAATTGGTTTAAAGTGGAGATCTACGGTCATGGTTTTGCTTCTTTAAATGTTGACAGAGTGTCAACGAATTCAGATCAAGTAATGCAACGGAAATTTGGCTCTTGAGAGCCATCTGTATCCTTATACTTTGAAATGATTGTTACTTGTAGTGTTATGGTTTCTTTTTATGAACTTTACACTCGCTCATTTTGAGATTTCAAGTTTTACATATGGCCAACTTGCTAATTGGGTCTGTATGAAGTTTTGGAATCTCACTGAGTTTTGGTTCACTCTATTAGCTTTTGTTTTCCTTACAGGGGGTACGAACATAGGCGTGAAGTTGGAAATGCTAGTTTTGTCTAGACTTTTAACTTTTTTAATTCTACTAGCGCTAGTGCTCGATTAGGGTCAGAAGTACAACTAGAACTTGAATCTCTTGTTATATTCGGATATGTGTGAATGGTTGAGATAGCAATGAATGTAAATGTACTTTCTAAGCTTGGGAACTGCTGTTTCATTTACTTTTGAAGCTGAAACCCGTTTTATTGAAGTGAGTAAGCGAGTCCTGGTGAGAGTTGGACAGACGGTCCGCTAAACCCTGGGGTACGCTCTAGGGGGAAGTGGGATCGTCACATGAGATGTGCACCCCATAGGACTTGTACCTTCCTTGTCACCCAAGGGCTTTTCATATGTGTCTTACACTAGGGTATGCCTTGAAAACGCCTTTTAAAATCATGCATGTATATATAATAGTAGTATTACGTATTGCAAAACTAGGAAAATTAAACTGTTATAAGGCGTGAGATTAATTATTTGTGAATAATTCTTTTTCCAACTATGAAAATACCAAAAAAGTTAAATAGTTAGCATACAAGAGAGGGTTAAAAATGAGTATGTGAAAAGATAAAGAAGAGTTGGTATAAATCCTTAAACCAATTAGAGTAAAACAAATTAATAAGTATGTAGATTTCAAAAGTTAATCTAACTTAAATAAGGACAAGCAATTATATATCCTATATATACCATAATAATTAGTTAAAGTAATTGAATCAAATCTAGCTAAACTTCTATAATCAATAATATGACTAAAAGTATGCAAATAAACTACAATAGTCTGAATCATGAGCTAATAAAAGAATAATGGTAATTTGGCAAGGCAGATAAATAAGTAGCAACAATAGATAAATAAATATTACTTGATGACAAAGTTGGCTAATAGATGATGAATAAGGTAGGTATAAAAAGTAATATAGTGCCACACTACAAGGCATCATTGTTTAATTAAAAATGTATATGTAAACAAAACTATCATAAAATGCATTTAAATTAATATTACATACATACTGACACTTTGTTTTTTTAAGTTAGGAACACTATAGACTAAGATAAGGTATATTTGATTAATATAAACCAATCATGTGAAGCACCATTATGATAGGTACATGAATTAATTAGCAACAAAATTATAAAAGTTTATGTAACCTAGGCCTAGTTACAAGTACATACCTTAAAGAGATGATTCTAAATTTAGGAATTCATGAAGAAAATTTCAACCTATCTGTGAAAAAGAGAAAATTTAGAAAAAGTATTTTCAATAATAGGGAAAATAGAAATTAATAGATTTAGTTATTGATGGAATTAATTTACAAATTAACACAACTTGTTGTCTTAATTACTATATAAACACACTCTAAAATTTGTAAAAAAAAATCTCTTAAATAAAATAAAAAGATGATAAATAAAGAACAAGAAACATAGCAAATGCCGAAAGCGACAAGAAATAGAGTCAAAAGAAAGCCAATATTAAAATACGAGACAAAAAGAAAGACAACATACATATAATGAATTAATCCATAAAATCATTGAAGTTCATTCTATTTTATTTTAAGAAGACCAATGCTTTTATACAAATGCTTCTTGCCATTGCAATAACTATTAAATTAATTAATTAGTTAATTTATGTTGAATATGCTTACATGTTACAAGAGTTAAAAGAACTTTTAAAAATATTATTGATAAATAAACTACCTTTTTATAACAAATATTACACTTAATATCTAACTTTAAGAGGAAGATGCACATTATGACAAATAAGTACCAAAATGCAACTAATAAGTGCACAGGAAAAATTTTCAACCATTAAGCCGTCATCTTTAACACCAAAAGGATAACAAACTGATTTCACAAAACTGGCTGCATACCAAAAAGACAATAAATTAATTTCATACAAATGCTATATATTATCCTAATAAAAGTTTCATAGCATTGTCTCAAGTTACTTAAATAGCTTAAAAGAAGTGATTGAAATTTAATGAATAGTGAAATTTATAATACTTTTATTATATGTGATTGGATTCAAATATTATAAAATAATACATTAAAAATTAGAAAGTTAAAAGTCTCTCTTGTATATCACCCTAGTTCTCGATTTTTGCCATTTCTCGTGAAAATTTTATTTGAGCTGAACAATTTCATTAAATTTTTCTACTAATTAACTTATAAAATACATAATTAAAAGATATTTATTTATTCTAATTTTACCTTTTAACAATAGGATACATATTTAGGATAGATTTAGTTGAAATAATGTATTTCCCATATAGTTTTGAGATGAGCGCAAATGGTGAAATTTTGATAATATCCAAAATACGTAGTTGTCCCAATTACTTTCCTAGTCATGTATAACTATGGTTTGTACAAAATTTTGTACTATGCCTTTTGTTTATTATGCCCACTTATAGACAACAAACAAATGAATCACATTGTAGGCCAACTAAAAGATAAACTAGTTTCATTTTGTGTTGTTACCTTTAGAATTGGTAATTTCTTTGAATTGTTTATATATTCTGACCCTTGTTACCATTTGAGGGAGTAAGACATCTAACAAAAGAAATCAAGGTTGGTATTGAAAACATTTTTTGTCACACGAATTTCTTGACTGCTGCAGGTAAATTCATTTTCTTAAGTTACATTTTTTTCTAATGCCAATTGTCTTGTAAAATTTGGAAACATATTCAAGCAATGAATCTTGTGTATGGGGTTCACTTTCTTAGAGTAAGGAGTTAACATGATGGAGCTCATAATGTCAATTTAATTCTTTTATTGATAAATTGTTAGCCTTGCTTTGCCTATTACTACATAATATATATGGAGTGATAGGAATAAATCTATATTTCAAAATTGTAAGTGGCTATGCATTAAGTGTGGTACTACACTAGATCATTATTGATGTCAAGTATGTTGATGCAAGGAATCGTTATTGATGTCAAGTATGTTGCTATGAAATGGAGAAGAGTTGATAAGAGTAAGGGGTGTTAAACATTGAGCATGAAATTAGGGGTTATATTTTAATTGGGATCCTTTATAAAGATTGATTGCACTAGTGAGATGGAGTGTTATTTTCCCTTTGTCTATTGTTAGTAATCAATGCAAATGAGTATTGAGAAAAAAAAAAAAAAAAGAAAGATAGAGCTCATATCAGCTTCATTTTATAGTCCAATGTACAAATTAAAATTATGGACTGATGTATCAGTTTGTAATCATAAATTGTGTATCGATTTTCAAGTTGTTGTCTAAAATAGAAAACATTATAGGTTCTTTAGACCTTGGAAGCATAACAGCTTCCAATACATGAATCATTCGTAGATTTCTTACGCCATTTCTAGGTATTGCCACACTTATAGGAAGAGATGCGGTTAGGGCCAAAGAAGTTTTTCATTATCATAAGGGTTATTATCACTTTACCCCCTTAATATTTGGCGTTACTATCAATTTTTCCCTTAACGTTATTTTCTAGTCATTTTACCCTCAAAACTAACGGTCAAACTTAACGGAATTTATTAATTCAAATGACAAGACATGTTTAACCTTTAAAATTATTATCATTTTACCCTCATAAACTACAACTTTATTATCAATTTACCCACTAGAGTTATTTTTAGGCAATTTATCCCACTATTAAACTAACTTAACAAGTTAAGAAACTTTAGAAGATAGTACACTCTTTTTTGTATAATAAAAAATTTAGAGTGACTCTTCTTCTTTTTAGTATGGAGAAAAAAAAGTCAAAACATTAATTTCTTTCTTCTTGGCAATCTTATTAATCTTGAAAAAAATAGAAAAATAGGGGATGGAGAGAGAAAGCTCAATTCTCTTTTTAAATACAAACAAAAAAGAATTCAATATTTTTATTATTTTAAAATTACTTTACTTTTCTGTTTATTACCCAATTCCAATCCTAATCTCGAGAACATTAAAGTAATACGATAATATTAAATTCTTTCTTATTTTCTTTCTTTGCAAAATCTAATTTTCCTTCTTCTTTTGTCCTATCTCCTTTTCTTTTCCAAGTATTAATAAGTATGAAAAAAGAAATTTGAAAAAACCCTTTTATCGTTATGTTTTTGGAATCTTTGAGTGAAAAAAAGGAAGAATAATTATTCCAACTTTGTTATTTTTAATTATATATAAAAAAAGGCAAAAACATTTAAACATTTTTAACACACTTTTTAGACTAACGATAGCGTAAAATATCTAGAAGAGAGTAAAGCGATTATATCACTATAATTTAAAAGGATAAAGTGATAATAGCAATGTAGTAATGCTATAAAATAAAAGGGTATTTTTGTCAAAAATCTATTAACATGCTGAGTTGAATTATCTATGGGGTGAAGTGACTAAAAGATAACATTAGGGGATAAATTAATAGTAGTGATATAGTTTAAGGGGGTAAAGTGATAATAACCCTTATCATAATAGCTTTTCAATGACTGACGTTCATTTCTACATAATATCATTGAGACATATTTTGGAGTGTTAAAAAGGAGATTCAGTATGTTGCAAGGTCCAGTGCCAAGTTTTTACATGACTATACAAATTAATATGGTCATGGTCTGTTGTACACTTCATAATTTTATACAGGATGAATTGCTTAAGGATGACATCTTCCAGAAATATGATCAAGAGGTGGATGTTGAGAGAAAAGATAGGGCACCCGCAATCCCAAAATTTCAATTCCTGAATGTCTTGATGAAAGCCATGAATGAATGGTATGCACTAAGGGATGAAATGACAAATGAAATGTGAAATGTATATCAAGATGGAATGTGAAGAAAATAGGATGAATTTGAATCTGCATGTTTTTAATCTAGTGTGTACTAAATAAGTACTATTGTGACGCCCCCACTTCTCCCTAAAGCGAACCAAAGGGTACCCGCGGGGCGCCTGCCCAACTCTCGCCAGGACTCAAGTAATTTCGGTTCAAGCTTATAGCAGTACTAGACGTCAACAACTAGATAATATAAATACGATTTGTCCGGAAGCATTCAAGCTTACAATATTTAACAATTACCCAATCCTTACATCAGGTTTCCATAATACAGCCCAAAATATACCATAGCCACAAATCTAGTCAATATTATTAGAACCCTATTACAAAAGTACAAAAGGGAATTTCCTCCGAGTCTCATTCCAAGCTCAATCCTGTTAAGGAAAACAAATCTACAGGGTGAGCAAAACGCTCGTGAGGCCAAGAACACACATGCAAGCACATTATTCAAGTAACAAACCAATTTACAAGTCGAGCAATAATATTTCAATAATTAATAATTCACTGGAAAAGTAAACAGAAACAATTCAAGGATACTGGAGCTCTCAGGAGCTATATTCCACTTGCACGAGCAATAACCTCCACGAATTGACACTCCGTCAATCGGGTAGGTTTAGTCTGCAGAACTCCACTTAACATGTCCCCTTTCACCTTACATACCCCTGTATCGGGCCCGCCTGTCATTTATTTAAGGCGATACTACTCGAGTATGCCAAGCGAGATCTCTTACTAGATCAAGCTTGTCATGTGATTCTCATGGTTCGCCAAGGTTCCCGACCAAGCCCATGCCGGCTCAAGTCCAAGGTCGGCCGATGAGATTTGGGCGTCCCTATGTATTTTTGAGTGTCGAGGAGATTCACTCCTACGACGTATGCAGCCATAGCATACTATATCAAGTCATTCAAGCATTTGATACATTCAAGCATTCATGTCATGTCTAGTAGGTCATTTATTTCTTGTCAAGCAAGTTATTTGTTTCAAGTGAGATCAAGTGTGATAAAGTACACGCTCGTCTCAAATTTCAAAATCTCAAGTATCAATACAAGTAAACATGTATCGAGTTCACAGGAGTTCAAGTAACACACACTTGACACTCACCAAGTAACAAGAGCAAGTAGATTCAATTGAAGTTCAAGCGTCCACCGTGGGATCCTCTTAAAGGTCCTCGTGTGCGCCTGAACAAATAATAATAGACTATCATTCACAAACTCCTACTATTAAAGAAGATCGTACCATAGTACAATCTTAGAAAGTCTCGTGAAACGAGCCTTAATTATCTTAAATCGAGGCTCTCAAGTGGGGTTTCAAAGTACAGAAGAAATTGAGTTTTCATCTTGGAAATCAAGTATAAAACGTTCAAGTAATATCGAAAGAATAAGGAGTACTTGAAAAACTCCATTTCCTTGGAATTTGGAAATTTTCAGTTTTGATATGATACATTAGAAAAATCGTATCTCACGCTTTACAAGTCAAAAATTGGAAAACTTGGTACCGTTGGAAACCTCTTCCAAAGTGGTAAAAGTTCATAGAATACACTTTTCCATGATTCCAGACGGAAAGTTTTCAAAAATTGGCTCAAAGTTGCTGTTTTGAACATGAAGACAGCTTTCGAGGTTGGTTTTTGGCCAACTTTGGAAATTCGGCAAAATTCACCCATTGCGAACCAGCCTTTAAAATTTAGAACTCAATTAGAGTTGTGAACAAAGTTTAAAAAAAAGCAAGTTGAATGAGAATTGGAGTTTTGAGCACCGAGATACGGTAGCTCAAAGTTGCTGAAATTTGGAACCTGTTTACCATTTTCCAGATTTAAATCACTGTTTTTGGGACATCGGTTGAACATCGAAACGAACTTGAAATGGCACCAAATTTTGCAGGTTTATCCTACCATATAATGGATATTCCTCTACCAAAATTCATAGGAAAATTCATTCGGGAAGTTGGTTAACGAAATCACGAAAACTCCAAGAACTTCAAGGTAAATCTGCCTTGTATGTTCCGTTTTTCGTTTTCAAAACGTTTGGCCAACAAAGTACCTCAAGCATGGTCCATGTGCATAGACAATGTCTAAGAGGTATCCAATACACATTTTGTAGGTAATTAATCACCAAAATTCCGGATAACAAGTCCCAAGTCATTGTTAGTTTCAAATCTGTCCAAAACACTGTTTCGTTCACAAAGTCAGTTTTGAATTTCGATCATAAATCACTCAATTCAACTCAGAATTGAGTGTGGTTTGTGGAGTTAGAAAATAGACTCATAAGGCTATATTTTCTCAGAAGAAACCATTTTCAAAATCTGTCCATAACCAGCTCATTCGTGAGCATCAAGTTGCAGCTCATGTGCTGCCTTCCAGGAAGCAACGAAACAGGACAGTGGATTTCAAACGAATGGTTTGGCTTTCTCAAGTGGAACCAGGACATGAATTTTATACCAACAGAAACCTAGAAATGTCTAGTTTCCAATGCTACAAACGGCACTCGATTTTGACATCGAAGCAACAAGTTATGGCCGAAACAAGAAGACTGCCTGGGCAATCTGGGAACAAAATTCCAGTTTTCTAACCTTTAGAAATTTCAACATTTGAGTGACCAAATCAAGTTATTTTTCAATGAAACTTTTTACACAACCAATATAACATGTAAAAAACATAAACAAGCCATTAGAACCTCAAAATTTTGCACAAAAGTGGTCGGACAAGGCAGGGGTAAAACGGTCACTTTTGTTCCAAGCACCTCTTTTGATTTTCTACCAACCATACAACATTAATCCACTAATTTAAGTATTAAACCACCATTAATTTCATCATCAATCATCAAATCAGTCCATATATCCAAGGTGGGAGTTCATAGAGCCCACACAACCATTTTTCAACATATCCAAGCTACCCATATGCATGCATGCTCTTAAATGTGCATTACTACTCTCATAATACAAGAATTTAAGAGTTGATCGTTACTTACTCGCTTTGATGTTCAAGACAGAAATTTCGGCTCTCCTTAGCTCAAGAAAACCCACGGATTGTAGCTCCTTTTCTTAGCTAGATGTAATCTCCAAGTGTTGAGGTATGTGTGGTCAAATTTTGGTAGGATTTGGTGATGTTTTGTTGAAGAAATGAAGATGGAAAAATGGAAAACTTTGAGTTGTTTCTTTGCTTCCCTTGGCCGGCTGTTCTTGGAGTGAGGAGAGAGAGTGGTTTGATCAAAAGTAGCTTCCAAGAGAAGCTTTAATGTGTGGTCCACAATTGTCCAAAAGTCAACTCTTCTTCGCGCGCGTATACGCGCGCATTTTGTCCTCGATTTTCTCTTGAGTTTGTTTCACTAGTGCACTAAACCTCCAATACACTTATATTCATATAAATGTTATTCACTCTTAATTGTCCCAAAATAAGGGTCTAAAGTCCCTCAATTAAATCGCGCGTGTGAAAACGCGTATTTCCAATTTAAGCGCGATAGAGTGAAACTTCCAAGAAATTCTCATAACGATAGTACTAATAACTATCACTTGAGTACTTAAAACTAAAATTACCTATTGTAGGACCACTGCGTAAGTCTCTAATTTTTCCAAACTTATTGTATTCTCGAATCAATTATTGATTCCAATCGCGTATTCGCTATTTTCACTTAACGAGCTTCCAGAAATTAATTTTTGAAACAAGTCACTTTAAAAATATAACGAAACTATAATTCCATGTATTTAGGTCTAATGAGGTTAGAAAATAATATTCGGAATAAATGGGCAATTAAATATTTAAATAATGCTCAAAATAGAATTTAAAATATTAAATTTTTGTGAGTTCTCACAACTATACTGAATTTAGTCAGTACATTTGATTTCAATTTGTATATTTTGTATACTTACTTTTATTAAATTTTGGGGTGTTTACTTTTATTAACTTGTGTGAATTGTCTATCTTCCTTTCATAATAGAATAAATTGTATTGAAATTGATTTCATTCAAGACATGAGAAATTATTCAAACTAGGGTACTATTATATTTTTTATTACAAAAAATTTTGTAAAGGGTCATATAAGTAGTCAATGGACTCAAAAAATAAAATAATGATAGTGAATAAAGAGCTAATAATCCAAACGTGATTCCAAATTGCTATTCTTCCCAAATTCACTATCCAAACAATTTTTTGTTATTCTACTATAGTCAAAGTATTCACAAAAATTTTGATTAAAAAGAATAATTATTCACTAGAATAACTATATCCATACAAAGTTATTATATTTTTGCCATTGAAGCTAGTCCTTTTCGGTTTGAACAAAAACTAGCCTTTTTCAGTATTTTCTTTTTTCATTAAAGGTAAAGTCAAAATAAGAAATACAATACAACTATAGTTGAAGTCAACTCATCTCCTATGATCCAGAGTAACTTTTGATTTTCTTTCTTCATTTTTATAATTTTTTGGCTAAAGAATTTTTGTAACTTATGAGCAAAAAATAGTCACTCTAAATCAATCAATATAAATACAAAATAGCCTACTCTCAATATTGAAATTGGGCTTTTTTCTAATGCAACAAAGAAAGAGAAGAAAAAGGATGGGAAAGGAAAAAAGAAAAGCCAACTGTGAAAAATAAAGTATACAATAGTATATAATGAAGGCATTTTGTTATCTAAATTCTTGATTATAAAATGATGATAGAAGGGAAAGAATTGCAACCCTTCTATTCAAGATAACTAATCACTCTACTTGCCTCCGATTCTTGAAATTTGATTATATATGTTCAAATGTAAAACCCAAACCCATCTAAAACTTTTTCTAATTAGGATGGTTATGAATTTGTTTTGTAGATTTTTGTGGTCTGTTTTGGTGAAATATGAGTTGTTGAGTAGCTATTTGTTTGAATTTAATAGTTTTATTTATATTTTTGTTTGAGTTTGATTGCTTAGCAATGATTAAGTGTGGGATAAATTTGACTAGTGTTTATTTCTTGATTTCTTGTCTGATTTTATATCACACTAGTTGATTTTG